CATTCATTTAGCAGCAAAGTGAAAATTCTCTGCTCCTTTATTAAATGAACCCCTCTGAGCCGGTGACCTGCCACAAGCATGCAGAGTATAATCCTAGACCCCTCTCCATATTTGTTTGTGCAGTTTTGAAGTCTGTGGATCTGCATCACAAACAGGTAACTAGCATTTTCTAAAGGAAAGCAATGGCAGCCTTTATATTTTCTCAGTTCGGGTTCCTTTTAAATGCATCAGAGGGCCGGTGAAGAAATGAAAACATTAAAAACAGCACAGCTCCAGTTTGTGTTTTAATGAGAAAATAATTATATACTTGCATTGTATGCTTCACAATCACTATAAAACAAAAGCTGAATAACAAGTGGTTAACATATATATTTATATATAAAGCCAAGTACAATATGATTGTTTTGTCTGCCATTAAAACACAGCCATCATTTCATTGAGCTATTATAAAACCCTTTCCTCGCAAAGTATTTTGGTATCACTTAAAAGCCAGCCTTTCAGCAAAGAAGTATAACACAGCCAGAAAGCAATTATCCCGAAGAAGTGATTCATATTCTTTTTTTTTTTTTTTAAATACACAATTTCTTTTAGCTTTTTTTTTATCCATATCATAAAAAAACTAAAACATTTTCCTGTTCTTATAATACTTATGCACCCATTTTTAAATGAGCTGGAGCTTTCCAAACTTTCAGTTGTAAGGAAAAAAATAGTACTGTAATGAGTTGCATTACCGGAATCTATCTGCACATCAATTATATTTTTTAAGCTGCTGATAACTACATGTACTATGTATAAAATACTTTTTTTCATATTTTGCAGTAGTTAAATGGCATAATCTGATTGACTGTTATAGGTTATTAATTTTTTTAGTGTCCATCAAATATTTGATGCATGCTTCTCTCTTAGTAACACTAAGCTGCATTGTTGGTGAATTTGTCCTTTAATGAATCCCTCTCCCTTCCTCGAATGCAGCCACCCGTTAATGTACTTACTTTCAGCCCTGATCAAGCCACGTTTGCCGTGTCACCCTGCCCAGCGTTGTATAGCCTTCCAAAAGGAAAATCTCTTGCCAGTTCTTCTTTACACTGAGTATGCTTGTAGAAGTCCTTTTAAGTCCTATTGATTTGCCAAATTCTGCAGGCCGCCATGAGTCCGGCATCCCATAGCAGTGTATGAGGTCATGGCACATGTGTACATTGTGAAGAAGGGCCAGCCAGAGGTTTTCTTTCTGAAGGCTGTGTGGCACCTAAAAAGGGCCGCACAGTGAACATGGCTTGATTGGAGCTAAAAGTAGATACATTACTGGATGGATTCATCTCAGGTACCTGGGGGAAATAACTAAAGGACAACTTTACCAAAGGTTAATGAAAAGTCTTTATATCTACTGATGAGGGGAAAAGGAAAAGCCAGCAATAAAAAAAAAGGAAAGCTGCTTCTTTTTCTATCCTGCCTAGAGGCACAAGCCAACAATGCCAAATGGGAAATCCGGCCCTGACTTGGGAACAGCAATGTCAAATGTGCACAAGTGCAAATGTGCACCAACCCATAGCAGCCAGTGAAACATTTCCTTGCATTAAGAAACTCTCGCAAAGCTAGTCAAAGGCAATTGGTTGCAATAAACTTTAAATATGAAAGCAGAGAACCTACTACATTTATATTATCAGCTGCTACTGCAATACTGCTGACTTGGCCGAAACAAAAATAGAAAATCAGCCGCAGACATCAATCAACTTTGCAAACAGCATACTTTTATCAGTTGAAGGAAAGTAGCCTTGTTTTCTTTAGCAGTCAGAACACTCCAACATAAGCTTTTTTAAAATTTTACATTCAGAATACACCAAGGGCTCTATATATAAACAATTTGCAGGGCACTTCACCCTGTGAACATCTGTGAATGCTTGTGTTGTGTGGATATTTAATTCCTATACTCCTCAATGCCATCTAGTGGCCATAATGCAGTATTACATCACAATACATTTGAATGGAAAATAAAAATATAGTAAGAACGTTTGTCATTATTCACACAAAAGTAACGTTCACAGATATTCACAGGGTGAAGGGCCCCGAGAATGGTTTATAAATGGACCCCTAACTGTTACATTGTGGCCACTTTACATAAATTAAATATAGGCAATACATTCTTGCTGCATAAAAAAATGTTTTAGTCCAGAAATTATTTTAAAAGAAAAAAAAACAACAACCCTATTGTTATAAGTGACATGTAAAACAGACAACCGCTATACTTAAGTGATTATAAAACACAAGAATAAATATGATTGTTTTCTAAAACCTGTCTTCTATCTTTGCATTTGTGGCTCGTGCAAATACCTTTGTCCAGGAATGCTGAATGACATGAAGGGATTAAACGTCCAATGCTTACACACAGCAAAGGCAGAATATGTCTTTATTACAAAACAGACCACTGACCCACTAATGGCAATGTTTAGGAAACATTAGATATGCCTTGTAAAAGTAATATTACAAGCTTCAATTCAAATAAATGGTTTCATTTTTGCAATTATTGTCTTTTCTTAAAATATTTTTACTATGTTTAGATATTCTCAAAAGTGTCACCTGCTTTTTTCCATGTCTAACGATAGCAATATAATAATACAGTATTGCTAGATCACCATTCGTGTGATCACTATCACACCACCCTGATACACCCCACTAAAATCCTTAAGAAAAAATACAAACACTCATCATCTCTTGCTCGGTTGCTAATCCTATTAAATCCTCTGCTTTTGAGAAGGTAAACATGAACCATTTTGTTAGTAACAGTCATATTCAATAAAGGAATGCATAATGCAATGGCAATATGCCAGTGCAGTAAATCAAAACAACTAGATCTCAAGTCATTGCAACTACATAGTAGAACATGAGTAAAAAATGATTTGAATAATTGCACTGCTTATATGCTCATTGTCCTTTGCACTGCCTTATTGAACATATCTGACAATATAGGTTGCAAGCTGCTCTATATATAGTTAATACTAAATTGATTGGCTATAACAAAGGATTGGATTGCCACTCACCAGGTCATGTAGCTATAATTGTATTAGAACACCTTACCCTCAAACAATGTACTTTGTATACTGCTAAAAATGTCTGTTTTTTTTACTGGTTTTTTTAATGTCTTTACCATTTACCTCTATTTTTTTTTTCAGTAATACACTTATATTTCATCTAGACTGGCAATGCTTCAGAATAGAACATCATTTTACAAAGGTTTTGAAAATAATTGTTTTAATGGGATGAATACATAAAGGTGTACATTTTTCACTTAGGGGCTGATGTATACATATTCTGTCTAACGCATAGCTGGGCAAACGCTGCTTGTGCAGCATGCTTGCCACTAGATGGAGTCAAGGAGTGTAGGAAATGCAATGGCTCTATCTAGTGGCGGAAACGCCATGAAAATGGCATTTGCCCAGCTATACACTAGGTGCAGTGGTGTTCCTAGACTTTTTGATGCCGGTGGACGGGGGGGATTGGTGCACGAGAGTGACGTTGCCCTCTGTGGGTAGGGAGACGTGTATGGCCCTTTCACATCTCCCGCCCGGCTGTTGGCAACCTGGCACACTCTGGCCAGAAAGGGGACGGCATTGTGCAGCCACTCTACAACAAACATGCTGCCCCACCCACGTGACCCAAAGAGATGCCGCCTGACGCAACAGACTCAGGCAGCCTCTTTAAAGGGATGGCCCCGACTAGGTGGAAGGTTTATACATCATCCCCTTAAAATTAAACGGAACTTCAGATTATAACCCTCCCACACATACCCTTTGCCTCCCCCAGCCCCAACTAATCATCATGTTACTTATAAGGAATCCAAAGTTAAAAGCCTATTTAACTTACCTAAATCTGTGGTTATATGATGTGCTGGGCCCTAAATCTTCTATCTTCTTCACTGCAGAGGAGGAGGGTCCTAAGTGGACACTTTTCTGCTGCCTGTTGAGCGGCAGAACTCTCTTGGGCTCTAGAAGCCTGGCAAGCATGATGATGAGTAAAATCCAGCTTTCTTTTTTTAAATTTGGTGAATGAGTGGAAGGGATGAGCGGGTGGAAAGGGGCTTATACCCAAATGAAACTGTGCTCACTTGTTTCGTATGACAACTAGTCATACGAAACAAGGCAAAAAATATACTCCTATCACATGAATGGATGACTGATGTGGATACAGATCAGCGAAAAATTTACTCTACAGTAAATTCACCCTATTGTCATTTAAATTAGCCTGTGCATCTGGATTTACTACTTTCGTTGGTCTTCTGTATAAATATATCAGAAATGATTGAAATATACTGTATACAGAGCAACTTAGCATAGTTACCTACATTTTACAATTACAACTAGGCCATATTTAAGCCATAATTCCCATCCCCTCAAGTTCTGCCTGTGTTTAGAGAAATCCCATCCAATTCTGTATACAGGTTTCAGAAACAGACTATCCCTGAACAATGGGGATACCTTAGAGGTGTCATTGACTGCACCTGAATGTGCTTATCCATGCTAATGAAAGTGTAATCAGAATAACAAGGGCATGTGGGTTATGTTTTTTGCTTTGAGCTTCTCTGTGCTTTAAAGCTATCATTTCGGTTACATTAACAAAAAAGAGAAAAAAAATCTAAATTGCAACATCTGGTTAACCCTTTAGTCCCTGAGAGCCACAAATGTGAACATGCACACAATTTGTGATTATGGTGTTGTGCTTTAAATATGGAACTTTCAAAGTGGCCACTGTAGTATATTCCTGCAATAGTGATGGAGGCCTCTGAAATAAATATAGGCATATCTGGCATAAAATACCAAAGAAGCAACTTATGTGAAACTATTTACAGACAAAACTGTTAGCAATGAAAGGTTAAATGGTTTTTCAGCAAAAATATATGAGCATGTGTTTTCCTCATTTCCTCAAACCTTCTTCTTTAACCATGTATTGTCAAAAGCAACATGTACAATACTTCATTGTGACCGAGTTAAATACATTGTAATTTTTTGTTGTTGCACCCTGCATGTATATGAACCTGCAAATGCATGTAAAGGGCCAATCTTTCATCAAACCTGTGCATGCATGTGTTTACGGCAGGGTAAGACAAGGATAAAAGTTTTAAAAAGCGACCCAAAGCTGCATTTTCAAAAAGAAGCAATTGCATTGCATGTTTGGCTTTGTTCATTGTCCATGCTGAGCCCTGGGTTTAGGATCAGCCTATGTCAGTGATCCATCTCCATTTCCTGAGTCCAAAGCTTAGCAGGGCCTGGTGCTACCTCCAGTGCCTGTCACTTCAAGCATGTCTTCGTTCTTACTTATAAATGTTCTACGTTGTTTCTATATGGACTGCAGAGGCTGCTTATTGTTCAATAAATATGCAATTAAAGGATTCCTTTTTTTTGGTTTTCGTTATCTTGAATGCAAAAACACTTATTCGTCTTCTTCACGGTTGGCATATATCCCTGCTTCCCAGCGCAGTGCCTGGGCGCTTTTTCTGCGGCCAACTCTTACTGCCTCAAGAACCTGCAAGAAGAGAAAATAAGCCATCAATGTACACCTGTGTTATCTGCAAAATGTGTAGCGACTGAACACATGCACTAAACAATGATACTTGACACCTATTTTTCACTTACTAGCATTAAGAGTAGGATATATGAGTAGCTGCAACAGAAATCAAGTTATCTTATAGACTTTGGGTAAAGCTGAGAATGACTATAGGACTGAGGTTTTTTTTTTTACATTATACAACTTTGGGTAAAGCTGAGAATGACTATAGGACTGAGGTTTTTTTTTTTTACATTATAGCATTAAACCAATCAAATAGAATTATGCTCATGGATATTTTTATATACTGGTATTCCAATTTAGGAGACAGAACACAATGTTCTACTGGGACACCCCCATTCATGGGACACCCCCATTGTGTCCCATGAAAGAAAAATCCTAAAAAAAAGCAGCTAGCAGAAGAAAACCTTTGATGCTTTCCTCCTTGGTGTCTGTCAAGTCCTCACTTTGCTTTCTTCAAGAGCTACAGCCTGCAACAAAATCTTTACACCCGACACACTTCTGGGTGTGCTGGATGTTTGGTCCCCAAGTTTGTGCTCTGGTTCCTTTTGTCTGCCCAATGTCAGTACTGTGTGGTAGATGCTGAAGTTCCTTGCAACTGTAACTCTTGAAGAGTGTGAAATGAGGATTTGCTTCCCACTGGAGAAGTAAGCATTAATAATCTTCCTTTGCAGGCATTGCTTTAATGGATCGAATTCAGTTATAGACATTGAAGATATATATATATATATATAATCTGAAGGAAGGGAAGATAATGCTGCGTTCCCAAACTATCTATATGACTCAACGAATGTAATGACACACAGACATAACACTAAATCAAGGGTGAAGGAGAACATGAATTAGAGGATATGCATGCTGCAGTGGAGATAAGCAAGTCACAGATACCTCAGTAGTAACTCTGTAAGACAGTAATTTACTGGTGTACTGGCAAGAGAGAGAGAGAGAGGAAAAGAAGAAAGTTAGTTTGCTAGACAGAGATACCAACAGGTGACAGATAATAGTAAAGTTAGCACATCAGATGCAAGACAATCTGTTAGCAGTGATGTTAAGCCCTTTTATCCTATTCAAGGTGTTTGGTAATAACATGCTTTCCTCGTCAATCATTCAAGATAATTGTACCGATCTACCTGCAAGATACCCATCCGAAAATAAATTTATACGGTTCATTAAGGGACACAGGTATTCTTAAGAGAATTCAGTTTCACTGCCGCATCCATGAGGTTTGAACACTGGCTAACAAAAAAAATAAAGGTAAGCCAGCCCTGCCTCCAACCACTATTCCTCAGTTTTGTGGGCAAGCAGTGGATAAGGTCAAAAACACAGGGTGGTAGAACCAGTGTCCCTTATTGGACTCCAAAAAATTGATTTTATAGTAAGTACAAAAACCTGTTTTCTTTCTCATTTAAGGACGCAGGATTCAGTCAGTCATTCTTAAGACGACCGGGACATCGAAAAGCAGTCCAACTGAGGGCTGGGCAACAGCTACACAGAAACAATAGATGTGAAACCTTTTACTAGAAAAAAATCCAAAACAATTTTTGCTTGAATAAGCTGGATGATAAATATTGGTAGCAACTATGAAATGTGCTGCTAAGAGGGAAAAACACCAAGAAGAATATAGTGTTTCAGGGCAAGACACGTAATATCGCTAAGGGGGAGACTGCTATCTAAAATAATGATGAACCTCAACAAGATGTGGAAGAAAACTAATCAATGACCATAAAGAAAAATCAAGTGGAAGCATACTTAGACCAAGAGTTAAAGTGGTCAACGAAAAACAAAAGTAAAAGGCTGAAGCTCACCATTTGGACTTGCTCTACTTGGTGTGGTGGCAGCGCACCAAGTAACCAAGTATGTGAACTAATTGAATTTGTTTTTGTGAATAGTTGATATAATATTTTTTATATTCATAGTATATATAAATAAATATCATCCTGAGGTATATAGATGGTTGATTCATATATAGATATCCTGAGGTATATAAATGGTTGATTTATTTATAAATATCATTCTAAGGCATGTAGATGGTTGATTCATATATAAATATCATCCTGAGGTATATACCGTAGATGGTTGATTTATATATAAATATTATTCTGAGGCATATAGATGGTTGATCAATGTATATTACAGGTCCAGAGGATCTTTAGAAGTATATTAACTTATATTATCAACAGTATTATCAACTTCATATCTGTCTTAGATTGATGAAACGGTGGAAGATTGCCATTTTCTGCCTCCTTTTTTCTCATTCATTCATTTCATTTAGAAATTCCTAAATCCCTCTGCTTCCTGAAGAAACAGCATTTGGCTGTAAACTGTGTAGATAATGTCCCACATCACGACCTGCTACACAGAATCTGGGACAGATGTTTGGTCCAAGTTATGTTAAAAGGCACCTGATATTATACATCTAGTGTACATAGTGTCTACATCTAGTGTACATCTAGTGTACATAGTGTATATTGTCTGTCAGTTGTGTTTTGGTCATGTCTAAGCAGGTGGTACTGTAGGGGAACAGAAATGTTTAAAGGCTGCTAATCACTAATTAATGTGACATGTTTTTATTTGTATAAAAATATCAAAAATCTTTTAATTATATCTAATAAATCTGATGGTATTGCATCATTAGGTGCCCTAAAAGTGCACAGTATCCTGTGAGTGCTATGTTACCTGCAAATAGTTAATCAGACTAAAACAAAAGGCCTGGTAGATACTGTAGGGTTTCCAAGCTTAAGCAGTGGAGCTAAAGAAGTTGCTGATGGGCAGCACAGTGGCATAGTGGTTAGCGCTTCTGCCTTGTAGCACTGGGGGTCCCTGGTACTAAGCCCGGCCAGGTCACCATCTACAAGGAATTTGCATAGTACAGTATAGGCATTGAATCATTTTACGGAAACTAGTTAGTCGCTCCCTGAAACAGTAGGGGAGCATGGAAAAAAGTTATCCTCTGCAGTGGGACTGTCCTCTGAATGCAGGAGCTGGAGTGGATTGTAGGCAGCAGGAGGTGACTGGGACACTTAAGGCAGGAGTGGAAAAGACCAGAGATTGGATGATCCACAATATTCTTCAAGGGAGGTAGGCATGGACAATACTTCTTTCTGAGCTGAAGGGCAGGGAAGGAAAACGTGAAGGAATGAGTGTGCACTCCCAAAACTGCCTCTACTGGATGACATCAGCATTAAGTTTCTTTCGTCTGAACCGTTACCTCCGGAAAAAGGGAGGGAATTTTTAAACAGAAAAGATGCCCTCTACAATTGGTTGGTACTCCACAAAACACTAAAGACAGTGCACAGGCAACTGATAAATGATATAAAGCAGAATTTAATGAGGATAAATGAGGTACATAAAAGCATTGGAGATTCACTGAGAAAAACAGGGCTCAGATACTGGTCACCAGAATTTGTGTCACTGCTTTGGATCTGGGGAGCGCTCTGTGGTAGACTAGGTTATTACAAAAGTGTGTAAAGCACTACAATGTAGAGCATAGATTTCAAGGAACATATATCAGGATTTTGTTGCCCCATCTGGAGCATTATATATCCTGAAAGAAATCAGAGGTGGGTTATACCAGAAAACAGAACCGCTGCTCTGAAAGATTGCTCTGCGGCTAAGTGACACTGTACACACCGGACTGGAAGCACCACAATGCAGAGCTCAAACACCACATATCAGGTAGACATTTTCAGAAGCATACTTACATAGGAGGCCTTAAAACTCTGAAAACTGGAGACTGCTCAGTGGCTAAATGACACAGCACAATACATTTTGGAAGGTACCATGATACAGAGCTCAGTACTCCGATCATTGCCATTTTTTAGAGGCATACTGACAATAGAGGCATACTGACAGACTGATTCATCAGAGCCTGGGTTACACCAGAGGCTATACTACTGCCTGGAAACTAGAGAGCACTCTGTAGCTAACTGACACAATACACAAAAAAGTTTGGAAGGCATCACAGACAAAGCGCAGTGAATGAAGGACACTCACTTATCCTTGCCCCATCTATGGACCTTCTCAAGGAGTAAGCCTTCAGAGATTGGGTCACACCAGAGGCTGTGCCATGGCTCTGGACCTGGAGAGTGCCCCCCACACACATTCCAGTACGCTAAGGTCTGGAATACACTAATGGCAGGGACCAGTGCCCAAAAGTCTATTCCAGGCATGCTAAGCAGTCTGCAGTACAGTGGGGTCCGGGTACGGCCTTTATGGCATTGTTTAAGATAAGTCGATCTGGATAGCTGCTGTGTAGAGACCAGCTCAAGCAGCATAATAAATGCCCTAATTCTAGAAAAAAAAAAAAACATCTACAAAGTACCAAGAAGGTTAAAACAAGCCATAGTAAAAATATAGAAAGGGTTTTCCTATACAGAGCAGAGGAAAAAGCTTCCAAGCTTCTAGGGCACTAGTAGAAACTGAGGCATGATGGTTGGAGGCAGGTTTATACAGGGGCTGGATAAACCTTTTTTTATTGTTTGCCAGTATCTAAGCCTCCTGGAGGTGGTAGTATAATCCTGCGTCCCTTTATGAACAAGAAAGGAAACAAAACTTTTACAAAACTTTTACACTGATTAAAATGTCAATGTCCCCTACTCTTAAGTGTTAAAATACGTTGTGCAGGAAGTATGTTTATTTAACACTAAACTCTTCTAAATTACAAGTGACAGGCACATCTGAAACGTGCACTGTGCTACATCTGATGAGAATTTACAAAACAAGTTGTGATTTAACTAAAAGCCAATCAATCACAACTAATTATTTTTCTAGACTGTCTTTCCCTTTAACATACATGATAAATTAATTTCTTCCTCAAGGCGAGTCAAGTTCTGGTGGCAAAACTTCACCTTCATAGTGTGTGTCACATGAGATAAACGAGTTGGATGAGTTCTAATCTTGAGAAGATCCATCATCATGTTTGTGGACATTTGAACATGAAGTATGTACAGGGTGTTAATGCAAATAACAGGATATGTATAGAATATTCAGTAAGGGCCTCCCAATCCTATCCTCTCTGTGGTTTTCCCCTTTTTTCCGTAGCTTAAGTTTATTAAAGATGCAAGCTCAGGCTGTATACAATTTCTTTTGTATTTGAATTGTATAAAACCTGAGGAAGACACCCAAGGGGTCCTGAAAGCTTACATCTTAAATTAATTAAGTTAGCCAAAAGGTATCACTAATCCATGGCTAACATGGTACAAGACGTCTGCTGTGAGCAGCTAGGAAAAAGTTACTTGATGACTGATATTGTGTCATTAAGGACAAATGTTTGAATAGCTTAAAATGTATATAATTTAGTTTTTTGCGATAGGTATTACAAATTACATCTGCCCATGTTGACGCTGATGACAAATTGCCAGTACCAGGATTGCTAAGCGATTGCCTGCCCATCTCTATGGGCATGGTCCCTCACTAGTGGGGCCAGCAAGATATCGTTCCATCGCTGCACCGTCGCTAGCGAGCAAAATTAGAAGGCCAGCAAATGATTTCACAGAGGTCATTGGAATGCTTTTCGGAATGACTCTGCCATTGACAATGTGTTGTTAGCAACAAACCAGCTTAAAATCTATTCATGCATTAGACTATCCATTATGCGTATATTACAATAACCTTTGTGGTCGATTCACTACAGCAGATTAGTTATTTTAAAGGAGAACTATGAGAACTAAGATGCCGACAATTATGTCTGGATCCGCCCAGCTGCGTGAGTGACAGCTGGCTCTGCCTATCTAGAGGCAGAGCCAGCTGTACCCGCCCCCTCCCCGTCCGTTCCGCCAGTCAGCGCAGGAGGATCGGACAGGGGAGGGGGAATCCAGTCACTCCCCTGTCACAGCTCTCTGCCGGCACAGGATCGAGAACTGAGCGAACGCCGGTATGTGTTCGCTCACTTATCGATCTACTGAGACGACCTGTAACAGTTTCATTGTCACAGGTCGGCTAGAACTATGAGGATGAGTGAAAAGCACTCACCTCATAGTTCTCCTTTAACTTGACTTATTATTTTATCTCATGACAACCTTCAATTCACAAAGATAAACGTTGCTTAGTTGTGAAACTATACGTTGTGATTGGCAAAAAATAGACATCTAACTGCAGAATGCATTCGTTTCTTTACTTAAAGGAAAACTATGAGGTGAGTGCTTTTTACTCACCTCATAGTTCTAGCCGACCTGTGACAATGTCACAGGTCGGCTCAGTAGATCGGGAGGTGAGCGAACACATACCAGGTTCGCTCACCTCTCGATCCTGTCACGGCTCTCTGCCGTGACAGGGGGAGGGGCTGGATTCCCCTCTCCCCGCTCCGATCTGCCAGCGCTGACTGGCAGAACGGACAGGGGAGAGGGCGGGTACAGCTGGCTCTGCCTCTAGATAGGCAGAGCCAGCTGTCACTAACGCAGCTGGGCAGATCCCGTCGTCTAAGTCGGGATCCGCTCCGGCTGCGGCGTCTCAGTATACCGCGAGCTGTAGCTCGCGGTATACTGAGCTTAGGGTAACGGGAGGACGCTAGTTTGTGTCCTCCCGTTACTCTAAGGAGAACTATGGGGAAAAACACTGACCCCATAGTTCTCCTTTAATTTTATCTCACAGTGTTATTTTATCCTTATCTAAAACAGCTCCTTCTCCTGCTCTCCTTAAGAGACACTCATCACAGCTCAGAGTAATCACCAGTTCAAAGATAGCAGTGTTTTACTTATTTTATGTGTTGAGTAAAGTCAACTGAATGTCTTTATTGAAATATTTAGCCAACATTACACAATGAAAACACACTGCATTGCTATGCCAAGGGTTAGGCAAACCCTGACCCTTCAGCTGTGCTAAAACTACAAATTCCATCATGTATCTGTCTCTGGGAGCCATGCCTGCGGCTGTCAGAGCCTTGTCATGCCTAATGGGTCTTGTAGTTTCACAACAGCTGGATGGCCAGAGTTTGCCTACCCCTGCAAACACCTTTGGGAACTGAGTACCATGTGTGAAAAATCAGCTATCATTTGATAAGGATTGCGATTTAAACAATGTTTTCCAAACGAATGCTTTGTGTCACTTTTACTAACGTCACTGTTATTAGGTGTTTTTGTACCTATTTTGGATTTATAGCATTCTGTTGTTGCTCTATGTATCAGAATTGTTTTTATTTAGGTATTAATTGTCGTAACATTTAAAGTGTGAACTTACACTAGAGTCATCCATTCGCTCACGTCTCTTGCCTTTGAGGGTTTCGAAATCATCCATAAGGGTTTGCATGAGGTTTTTAGGACGCTGGGATCCAGTGGCATCTTCTAGCAGTACTTCGGGCTGTGTCGGGGAAAGGTCTCCTCTTGAGGTCGATGAAGTCCTTACTTTCTCTATTTTGCCTAGATGGGTCAGAACATATTAGCAAAATGAACAATGTGTCATATTCACTAGCATGTATTTAGCATTACATTCAGCTGTATAACAAAGCAAAGAACAATGTGTAACATTTGCCTATGTTCTCACATCCACCAGTTGGAATGCCTAATTCACTGGATTGTTTACAGATACTGAAATCAGAGATTGGTCACTATGGGTTACTGCACTTTACATGTGTCTTAGTGAGTAAGCGTAATTTACAACATTGCTCTATAGCACATGAATGACAGTGTTCTGTCTGAATTTAGTACACCAAGCACCCAACTATCAGTAGCACAGAACAAGAGTTTGCCTTAGGCTCAGGCACACAAGCATTTAAATACATGCTTCAAGATGCATTTGGAGCTTATTTCTAAACACAGCCAGATGATTGAAATGCTTTGCTATGACTGAATGCACACCAAGGTGTTTAGCAGCTAGTGTTTAGGTGTCTGTCTGGGGCGGAGGTGGAGTGTATTATTTTCTGTGTGCGGGGGGGGGCTTGGGACGGGGGGGGTGTATTATTTTATGTGTGTGGGGGGGAGTGTATTATTTTATGTGTGCGGGGGATTTTTATGTGTGCGGGGTATAAGTGTTTTATTTTATTTGTGTGTGTGTGCGTAACGTTGGGAAGTGTATTATTGTGTATTAGTGTATGTATATATTAGGCACCGTTCACACGATTATTTTAGATGGGATTAGGGATTCCTGTGTCAGGAACTTGCATTTTCCTGCAGCAGGAATCCCTAATCTGCCATTTACAAGCAACTATCATAAGATCATTTAAGAGGGTATGTTTAGGGGCGGAGTTAAGGCCAGGGTAGGGTAGGGGTTAAGTGGGGCAACTGGTGGCGAGTAACTCTTAAGGCCTGGCTAGTAGCTCAGGACCTGAATTTTTGAACCCTGCATTATGGTTTTTTTTTTTATTCCTATACTTGTCAGTGCCATTTAGGGGAGCTAGTGTTGTGTGAACGGGACATTTCTTTTAAATGATCCCCATAATGATAAACAGTTAATGGATTATAGATTTATTCACTGCAAATTATCTTTTGCTTGGACCAAATCCTTTAATATAAAGAAAAAAATGGATTTGTTTTAATTTGATTGGATTCTCCTGTAGGATCGATGTATTCCCTCTGAAAGAAATAGACTGTTTATTGATTGAATCACCTTTACTGTGCCCTTATCTTAAAAGTACCTTTACTTTTAAGATAAAAGTAAAAAGTGTTTTACCGCATATTAGTGTAACGCACATACGAGAATGCGGCTTAACAGTTTTTGTGGCCCTTAAATTCTGAGCTTTGTAGCATGCCTGTAAGCTAAGACAACGATAACTTGGGTGACTTAATCTGTCAGTAGTGTGAGCCCTCTAAATAGGTAATGAACAGTGAAAGCAACACAGAATTAGGTAAGACTCTGTTATAGCCAATGTCTTTATTTTAACTCGTCACAATTAAACCCACTAATTATTATAATTTCATTAAAATAATAATAAGTGATTGCAATAACTAAATGTTTTCAGGTTCCATTTTTCCTTCTAAGCTAGGCCTACTGCTGCTTGATGTACATGAATGTGGTTCACCATCTGACAAAAGAATGCAATCTTCATGTCCTGAGACCCTGTTAAATCTGAAATAAAATGGGTTATATGCCTGCCTCTCTAGCGGCGTGTGTCTCCTACCTTGCCTCTGTTCTGGCGCTGCAGCCCCAGTATTTCTCTCAACGCACATGTACTTTAACTGTGACAATATTTGTTTTACTACACAATATATAACCACTAGGTGTCACCCTCTTAAAGTGAACAAAATATTTTCTAGAAGCCATAACATCTTGACTTTTTCATCTTGACTTGAGTTTTTACTCCTGTAGACCACATAATAGGATATCAGAGAGTTAGTTGTTTAGCCGTTAATCCAACTACCCCTGGCCACAGAAGTTATGGATTGTACCATTGTGCAATTTACGTTAGATTTAGCAGCATCTGTGGTGCAAGCACTTAGGTAATCTGTACAATTTCTATCTAATCATGTACACAGGGCCGGCCTTAGGCCTTTAGGCGCCCTGTGTGAGAAAGCTTTACAGCACCCCTCAGTGACCACACCCCTCAGTGGCCACACGCTTTAGTGGCCACACCCCCAGTAACCACACCCATTTCCCCCAATATGAGCACCATTTAAAGACTCCAATTTTGTTAAGCTGCAAAGAAACATATTAAAAAGTATGATACAAATAAAACTTTTATTCAACGGTATTACACTTGTAGGCACAATAAAAGTATTCTTATCAAATAAAACAACAGAAGGTAAACAATAAATGTCAAACTAAAACAGAGTCTATACAAATAAAGTGTCAGGTAGTCATGCCGACACCCTTTTTTCAAGTAGGTATATCTAGAAAAGTAAAAATAGAAAACAGAACACAAAACCCAGACTACATGTAAAATTCAGCCGGTTTGCATTCCAGTGCGTTCTAGAGGCGCCGGCGTCCTGTCCTCCCGCGGTGCTCATGTGGCCAAATGTGGCCGATGTTTCGCACGGGGAGAGGTGTCCTGCCCCTTTCAGTCTGCGGCGTCTAACACATTCAGCCGGCAGCCACAAATACAATTTTGTATTATTTATTTTTTATTTACATTTTTTTCACTGTTTGGGGGGGGATTCAGGGGGAAATAGTAGGGGTCTAAACAGCCCCCTGATATTTCCCTTTTAAAATATTTAAAATAGAAAAAGAAATTGAGGACACAAAGTCCTCAATCTCTTTTTCTGCAGCCTCTGTTCTACACATCCTGAAAGCTCAGAGGCTTCCCATTTATTCAGAAACTATTTTACTATCATCCAGTTTCTTAATGGGGAGGAGCCTCTGTGCTTTCCCATTCAGAAACTCATGAATGAACAGGAAGTGATGTAAATCACATCCTGTTCATTCATAACTGGGGACACATAGTACTATGTGTCCCCAGTTTTTTTACAAACACTGGAGTGATCAGCTGATCGCTCCAGTGTTTGTCCTGCACAGAGGATCGGAACATATCACCAATATGTACCGATCCTCCGCCGCTCGGCCGTGCACACAGGGGGGCTCAGTTTCTTCTCTGGATCCCCGCTGCTCTCCTGGGCAGAGGCAGCGGAGGATCCGAGGAGAAGTAAAAGAAGCGCTGCAGCCCCGGGGGCAGCAGAGGACGGAGCGCAGTAAGGAGAGAGCCGCCGGCTGTCAGATCCTGGCCGAGCGTCTCTCTCTCTCCTCACTGCTCGGCCTTACTTCTGTGATAGCTGCTCCCTCCTCTGCTACGCGATCGACCTTATGGCACCCCTGATGTAAAGGATGCAAGACAAAATTATTGGCAATTTGGCTTCATACCAGACCAGAAAGCCCCTGTGGCATGCTAAAACAACTAGTGGATGGTGCCATGCAAAGAGAAGAAAACAAAATGCTATACATACAGTACCTCATTCCTCTTGCAATCAAACAGCCTTTACTGTAGTTTATTTGGCACATCACGTAGAGAAATGCCACTTTTAGATGAGCCAGGGATCCCTTTATCAGGCAAAATGACATGTCCCCTGGCGGTTCCAAAATGTTGCATTGTGAACTTGTGATATGATAAACCAACGTCAATAGTTGTGTGTTTTCTTGCAAGAGGATTGAGGTGTGCAGGCAACATATTTTTTATTCTTGGCTTGACACCAGGTATCCATGAATCTACTGTTGATTGGAGCGAACGGGTGTGGAGGGGGCCTAATAAACATAGGCTATCTTGCACATACCGTGTTTCCCCGAAAGTAAGACCTACCTCGAAAATAAGACCTAGCACTATCTTCAGGGATTTCTGTAATATAAGACCTACCCCGAAAATAAGACCGAGTTCGGTGGTAGGTCTTATATTACAGAAATCCGCTAGGTCTTACTTTCGGGGGAACTGCACATAAACTGTGTAAAAACCGGCCGCAGCTCCCGCCCCGCCCACAAGCCCGCCCACAAGCGAGCCTACAGCAGTTCCAGGCCTGCCCACACGCCAGCCGGCCGCAGCTCCTGCCCCGCCCACACGCCAGCCTGCCGCAGCTCCAGCCCCGCCCACACGCCAGCCGGCCGCAGCTCCTGCCCCGCCCACACGCCAGCTGCAGCTCCCGCCCACACGCCGCCGGCCGCAGCTCACGCACGCACGATGGAAGCGACATCCGCCGGGACCGGCAACAGCACGCCGCCTTCCGGGACCTCGTCCAGTCCTCCCCCAGCCAGGTAAGACATCCCCCGAAAATAAGACCTAGTGTCTTATTTCGTGCAAAAAAAAAAATAAGACAGTGTCTTATTTTCGGGGAAACACGGTAGTATGGGTCTGCAGACATAGGGGCAAATTTCAGACATACTTTAGGTGCTGTGCAGGTGCTGTTTGCTACTTTTTACCATTTGAAAAGTGTACTATTGCCAAGATTGTTATGGCACACATTACCAATTATTTCTAGTGACAAATAGCACCTCGCGCCAAACCCTGTGTAGCTGCAAGCACTATAAGAAGTGTTTCCCACTGAATATATCAAATTATAATGAATGTGCTGCGCTTCATCTGGGGCTGAAGATGAAGTCAATTGTGAGGTAACGCATAGGGCGGAGTCTCGCAGACGTGGATTGGAGATTGTATGGTCGGCAGCACACCTCCTGTTTGATCTGTCTTTAAACCCAGAGAACGCGGTGACACGAAGAGAGAGTTGTCCAGCATACATTTTATGTCTACTTTCCTCATGTGAGTAGTTTTTTAAATAAAGGAGGTTTTTTTATTTTGCGGTTTTACTCTATGGGCTGTTTTTATATTTTATTGGATATGGTCGTGATGATACGCTGACGTCATTTTCTGTGCAACGATTGTGTAGAGATGGCCTTTGAATAAGATCGATTGGAGACCCATTAAAGCGATTCTAGACCTGTTCAGGTCTATTTAGAAGGTGAGCGGCCCACTGAGAGGGGGAGCACCTGGGTCATAATTGGAGTTGAC